TCCACTATTTTGGCACAGACATCCAGAAGAAAATAAGAGCACAAGTATAAGTCTAATGAAGACCAGCTGAGGGAACTGGGGTTGTTTAGCTTGGAGAAAAGGAGAAGAGAGGCAATCTTACCACTCTCTGCAGCTACCTGAAATGAGATTGTAGCGAGGTGGGGGTCGGTCTGTTCTCCCAAGTAATAAACAATAAGACAAGAGGAAATGTCTTCCAGTTCTGCCAGGGGAGGTTTAGGCTAGGTATTAGGAAAGATTTCTTCACTGAAAGGATTGTCAAGCAGTGGAACAGGCTGCCCAAGGAAGTTGTTGAGCCACCATCCCTGGAGGTATTTAAAAGATGTATAGATGTGATACTGGGGGATGTGTTTTAGTGATGACTTGGCCGTGCTGGGTTAATGGTTGGGCTTGATGATCTTAAAGGTCTTTTCCAGCCAAAAGTATTCTGTGATTCTGTGTGGTCCTGTGGTATTACCTTTTTTATTGCTCTCTGATGTTCATTTGTTTTCCCCTTGAGGAATACCTGAAGTTGTTAGACATTGTCTATGTAGTAACACTGGTGGATTTCTCCTTGAAACACTGTTCTGGTCTCCCCTTGATTCTGTTTCTTGTATCCAAAATGAGCTTTGGCAAATAATTTGATACAGATGCAGCTCAGGAGAGCAGAACCAAAATCATTGCAGTTGGTCTCAACCTCTTAAGTGGGAAGACACCACTTCACTGGAGTGTCAGCTGTTACAGTAACACCATGAGTTTCACCATACATACATGCCTACTATAAAAAGTCATCCCTTTCAATGTTATATTTTGTTAATGGTACATGAAATAGCTGCAGCACATAAATAGGAAAACAGGCTGAAATAAAATGAATTTCAGATAATATTTACACAGATGATTTTTTTGATATAAAAACTTCTAAATTTCATGTGTTTACTTGTGAAGGCATTGTTGATTTTTTTGGGACTTAGTGGTTGTCTTAAAATTACATATATTAGCAGTCTTAATACCGAGGTTGTGTGTGCCAGTTCTCTTTCTCTCTCTGATAGTTCTCTTTTTTCCTTTTTATTTGGGAAAAATAGAGAATGATGCAGGCAGGATGTGTTGTGCCGACTGTAACAAAATCTGAGAGGTGCTTATTGAAAGTACCGGGTTTATTTCCAGTCAAGTGTAGCATCAAATGTGTAGAACTCCTTCACCCTTCCCACTCAAGTAATTTTGTCATTGTTATTTCTTTTTCATTCCTGTCAAAGGGCCAGATTTTGCGCTCTAATGTCTCTGCAGTTTGTCCTTTAAATTCAAAGGAAACACTCATACAGCTTTAGAGGTGAATATTTAATTGAAGGACAGTGAATGCTTTTGTGCAGGCTCTGCTTATTGCTCACTTAGATAGCTAAGGTGTGTCTTTTCCAGTGTGGCCCAATGAGAGAAAATTTTATTTCCTTTATTTTTTTTTTCTTTTTAAAGACTCATTCTACATAATTTATTCTATAAATTACTCTGGAATCTGGAAGATCAGAGTCCCTCGTCTGTCACAAACTGTCTTAGGCAAATCATTAAATTTCAAAGTGTCCCATTTATGATACTTGCAAAAATTGAGTTGATATATTTGCTTCAATAGCAAATAGGTCAGGGGCTTCCTGCTACAAATTTTTGTCTATGAAACTTTCTGTGATAGGACTGTGTTTTTTTCTAAAATTGCTTTATTCTACTAGAATGTAAATATTAATTTCTATTTTAAAATATATGTATTTAAATACTTCAACATGAGGATCTGGGGCAGTTAGCAAATGAAACAATCTGTGAATTATCATGCCTTGATTAATTTTAATCATAGTTATTACTTAATTTTGAGTTCTCTGACAATTAGGATAAATTTTGCTTCCAATGAAGACACAACTTCTCAGCTAAAATGGGATTATGGTAATTATTAGAGTTGCAAATAAATTTTGTTCATAAGCTCTTGGAAGGGTTAGCTATCTGACCAAAAACAAGATCAATGCAGTTGGTGCTAATTAAAGCAAATAGACTAAGGAATAAAAGAGGCTTAATTATGAATTTATGAATATCATTAAAAGTTTACAAGGCTAGTTCAACTTGTGTGTTGTGCATTGTTGGGGGAAGAAAAAGTGTCTGTGTTTGTAAGACAAGTAGAAATGAGAAATGACCTTCAACTTTCTAAAGACTGTGAAAGGAAACTGTTTTAAGGGAATAAATGTGGCTAAGGCTTTGGCAAACCTCAAATGACTAGTAATTAGCTCTACTGCATTGGGTTAATTAATGAAAGTTAGCTTAAAATAGGCAGAAAATGTGTTTGTCTATGATGATGTAAACTATGATAATAACACAATACTGTTCTTTTTACCTCTCCAAAGAGCTTAAATAACATCAGATGTTTGTTGTCACCTGCACCTTGTGATGTGAATATAATTTCTGATGTTGTGCAGGTGATATAAATGAATGTTTATGACCAAATAGCAAGTAGAAGTAAAGGCAATATGCTGAGGGCAAGGGCAGGCATGGTCAAAGCACAAATACACTCTCACAAATCTGCTTGTATGGCCAAAATTCATATATGTCATCGTACATGTGTCGAACCGCTGTGCTTCTCCTGAAGCCTCTAGGTTGGGGAGTTGAAGGTTTGAGGATGCTGGCACAGTCCTGCAGAGAGTAATCTGGGTGCAGATTAGGCACCAGCCAGTCCTGTTTGTGCCATCCCGTAAACTGCTTTTGCTTTCTGCAACATCAACCCAAAGATTCTAAATCTCTCTTTGCTATTGCCAAGAGTAGAGGTAATGGCAGAGGGACCATGTGTGGGTGTGAGGCTCAGTTAGATGATTTCCCAGCATACCATTAAAAGTCAAAATCACATCCCTTCACAGACTTCTTTCCTTGTAAGGATGGGGCAAACCTGATAGGTTTTTTTTTTAGAAAAAAAGATGTTCTCTGCAGCACTGAAAAAAGCTCCCTTGTGAGCTGGAAAACCAGGCATGCATTTCCCATTCTCTTTCCTCATTTTGTATTTAAGCCCAATAATTAACAAGCTATAACCACAATTTTTACAAGACCAATATATCTCATAATTGTTTTAAAAGATGTTACAGATGTTTATAAATAACAGAATTCCTTCTTAAATTCCTTATGTCTCCAGTATTTGAATAATAAATAATTACTATAATAAGTAAACATTAAGAAAATAATTAATATTTTATATTAATATTTTATGTGATCTTTATAATTTTATGTACAATTGTATAAATAGTGATCGAGTAACCCGAGTTCTAGAACAAATCTCAGACCCACATATATAGTCGAGTGTATGTATGTATGCACACACTTGCATACAGTATATTGAGAACATGAGCTTAGTCTGATAGAGTTCTATGTGCATAAACAGGTTTCTTTGGATTCTTAACGTTTGACAGCTCTAAACAGCCTTGGAATCCAGTAAGTTGATGAATGCTTGGCTGGAGGGACTCAGGAGGCTGGTGGAAATTATGGCTGTTAGTGACATACAGGCTTTCTCAATGGATATTGTAGAGAGGTAGGCACTGGTCTCTTCTCACAAGTAACTAGTAATAGAGCAAGAGAGAATGGCCTCAAGCTGCTCCAGGGGAAGTTTAGACTGGACATGAAGAAGAACTTTTTCACTGCAGGGGTTGTCAGGCATTGGAGCATGCTGCCCAGGGAGGTGGCTGAGTCAGCATCCCTGGATGTGTTTAAAAGATGTGTAGATGTGGTGCTTGGGGATACGGCTTAGAGGTGAACTTGGTAGAGCAGGGTTAATGGTTGGGTTCAATGATCTTAGAGATCTTTTCCAATTAAAGTGATATGTATGTAACATTTTTTAAGGGTAAGGATTCCAGAAAAAAATACTGAAAGACACAGTTAAAGGCAATATGCACACTTAAATACAAAAACATTCTAAGGATGAAATGAACGACAATAAAATCATGTCCTCTGGTAGTACAAATCTGGGTAGCATCAGTAACTTCACCACTTATACAACTGAAAGATCTGGGCCATAAAAAGGGGTGTGAAGCTCAATTTACAACAAAGCAAACTCTAATGGAGTGCTGGGATGTATGAGATAAATTGATTGCCTGTTGTATCCACCCACTCATCACAATTGAGTCAGTGGTATAAACAAGTTTCTCATTTTTCACATGTCAAACATACAATATAAAAGATTATCTAATATACAGTAATGGCAAAAAAAAAAAAAAATAAAGGTGAGGTGGTGGGAATAAAAAGCAAGCAATGGAATAATTTCTATTTAAGTTGGTGTAACTCTGCTGCAATGCCTGTGTTTACACCAGCATAGTTCAGATCAACATTCACTTGTCATGGAGAAGGAATTTATCTCCCACAGCTTTTGTTTCTGTTCACTTCCCAAGCTGCATGCTGTTTTGCATCTTTCTTCTTTTAATAATTTGCTTCACAATAATATTTTAGAGACATACTAACTAAAACGAGGGAAAGAAGAAAGAGTACAGAACTCATAATTGAACCCTATTTTTCCTCTCACTTCTGAGATTTTCCTGCTGTTTACTTACCACAAATTTAGTTTGGCCTAATTTTGATAATAATGATGCCCATTTAGTGAGAGAACAGGGAATTCTCTTTTGAAACAGGATTCCGATAGCATTTTCACCTGTTATTTGTCATTCTCTGTGCTCAGAAAATTTGTGGCACTGTAATTGTTAACAAGTGGAGGACAAGTAGAATGTGTTTATTGAGAGTGAACTTTATCTACTTGCTGGATACATTAAATGTTGCTTTCAGTGCTTGTATTTGAAATGAATCACAGGTCAGAGGAATAAGTCTTTATTTTAGGTACCATACAATGATTCAACCCCAGGAAACTTTTGTCTGAATGAGGAGAGTTGAGACAGTTTTAATCTTTTAATCTTTTTTTTTTTTTTTTTTTTTTTTTTCCCAGCACATTATTTTTACAGAAATGTTATAATTAACTGCATTTTTTAAAAACTGTCTCCAATTAGATGCTTACCCAACTACTGTGAACATGGAGGAAAATGCTCTCAGTCCTGGACCACATTTTACTGCAATTGTAGTGATACAGGCTACATGGGAGCTACCTGTCATAACTGTAAGTAAATGCACATGTACCGTTTTTTTTCTACTACAGCTGGTATATCAAGATGCACATAAACTCTGGAGGAGCTTTGTGATACAATCGTATCATATTACAGGATGTAGCATGTCCTGACATGGTTTGAACAGATTAAGATTTGGGCTAGGAACACACAGGAATCCATTTACAAATGTGCATATTTATTGACAAATAGTTTTGAGAAAACCAAATTATTTTAACTAATTTTCCTAATTTTTTTTTTGCTTGATTTGGAAAATTTTAAATTCATTAACGTTGCATACACATCACAGACACATTGGTCATTAGACATTTAGTTGAATTTAGCTGGGTGGAGCTGGGTGATTTTAATCTGTGTTTGGGGTTGTATGTCAATTTTAGCACCATCAACTTCTTTGGTTTTAGATTAATTATGTGAAAGGGCACATTGCAAGAACTGAGTTTTCAAGTTTATAATTTTGGAATTTTGCTGAATTATTATTTGGGTTGCTGCTATCAGCAGGGATACAGTATTGGAAACAGTGGCAGTACATGAAGCATTCAGCTACCGAAATCCACAGCGAATAGAGTACCAAGGTGTTTTAAAGGTTTTAAAAAATATATCAAATAGTAGAGGCACAACATGCTGGTGAATCTAATAAAAATGGAGAGGAAGAGGAAGCCTAAATAAAGCATCTTCATGCAGCTGACCAAAAGAGAAAACGTTTAGAAAATGAAGGTAATGTTCTTTACTGGGAGTAAAGATAGAAAAATGAGTAAGAATGACAATTCCAGGAATAAAATTATGATAACTCCAGGTGTTTGATGAGCAATCGAACCACAGATAGGATGAGGTTGGTGAGAGATATATTTTTTTACCTGTTAAGCAGAAGAGAAGGTACTTAGTGGTTTGAAGCTGAGAATATTGGCAGCTGTACTGTAATTCTGGAGATTTCAATGGTTTTCTAATTAATGGTGAAACCATTTGTGGTGTGGGGTCTGCAGCTGACAGGAGAGGCTGTTGAGAGGTTTATTCATAGATTCATCACCTGAAATCTACATTGTAAGCACAAAGGAAGCTAAGGGTTTGGTGCAGAAATCATACCAATAGAGATGAAGGAAGGGAAGGAAAATGCTGAGTTTTGAGTTTTAAAAAAGAGGTTTTACTTTTTGTCCAATGTTTTTGTTGTTCCAAAAGGCATTACCATTCTTCAAAACCTCCAAATCCCACCCAGAGTACATGCAGTGATTGAGGATATAGCAGAGTATTCACACCAGCTGATGGCTGTTAGAAGATGAGATGAAATCCCTTGGTGAGAAGGGAGAGGCTCCTTGGGGAATGAGGAGGCTGTTGCTCTTGACCATCCAAGGCAATCAAGGACATTAACCTCTAGGCTACATCTGTGCAGTCATTATTGCTCAGGGCCTGAGGCTGACTATGTCTGTGCCAGCTCAGTGTGGCTTATGTCCAAAAGAGACCATCTTATTCCTACAGAGGACTGGTTCATGACTAGTTTTCCCCATAGACTTGTGCAAGGAGCTAGTGAAGACTCCCGAATCTGAGAACTTGTCTCTGTGTTCTCAAAGGCACATACATAGCTGCAGTTAATTTGAGGTTCATTGATGTAAGAACTACTCTGAAAAGTTCCTTAGGAAGATCTTGTGTTAAGACTTTCCAGCAGATCAAGCTGTGCACACATGTGATGTACAGCTATTCAGGTGCTTGGCTTATTTACAACCATATTATCAACAGCTAATTTGATTCCAGCTAGATTGTAGAGCCAGCTGCCCTGTAAGCCAAGCAATGCTGATAAACAGCAACATTAGTCTGGAGAAATGTGTTCATGTGCTTGAAGTGTGTGAAGAAGCTATTTCAAAGTTGGTGGGCATATGCAGGCTGTTGATAAGAAACCTGCAGAACAAGAGACACTATCGCTTTTGGCTGATAGTGGTTGATGTACAGGAGTGCCGTGCAGCAGGTGAATGAATGCTGCAGATCTGATCACAGCACAACTCCAGAATACCCTCAATGTACAGGCAACTCTTCCAATAGTGCAATTCAGTGTAGTTCTATCCAAGTTAAAACATGTAATTTCTTAAGGTTTGAAACATTATCTCAAAAGATTTTGATGTTTACTAAAACACTGAGGCTGATGGGCTTGAAACTGAACTTGTACCACTTGGGAGAGAAGTTATTTTTTTTATTAAACTCCCCTTCTGACCCAAGTTCATACAGCAACAGTGGAGAGATTTAACTGGCAATCCACTGGCAGTCAAACATAGTGTGAATAGTTTCATTGTCAGCTGGGTTTCTTCTCTTTCTGAGTTACATCAGTGTGGGTTTTGCCTCTTTTTGCTGTGGTGTCTGTAAAAGATGGGTGCCACAGGTTGAACAACATAAAAAAAAAAAAAAAACAACCAAACAAACAAAAAAAAACCCAAAAAAACCCCCAAACACATTCCTTGCCATGCTTTCAGGAAGAACTGCATGACATGCATCTGCAAACCAGAACTGATTTATTTATGCTTTACCAGCTCAGACTAGGAAAACTTACCATTTTAAGAACTGAGATCTGAAGAAACATTGTCCCTAGCTTACTGTTATAATCTGTAAAGTATTGAAACCTATTTTGTTGTTGATACATTAGCAATCTTACTGGTTTCTTTTAAATATTCATAGACCACACAGGATCCCACTGTGAGGAACAGCTAACAATACAGACTATCCCTGTTCTAAAGAGTTTGCAGTTAAGCTTCTGAGGGGGAAAAACACACTGGCACAACTGATGGAGTGCCAGAAAGTCTTCATCAGCATCATAGGTGGCAGTTTCAGTCTACCAGGTACACAATTATTGCGACGCTTTCTTGTACCCAAAAAGTAATAAGGTAGAGATGAAAAAAGAGAAGGAAATTGAATGCTTGCAGCCATGAAGCAGTGACATGAGAGAAGGCGAAAATGTGATTGCTTGAAAAATATAAAGCCATGGTCAGGAGTTCGACATTTTTGACAAGGCAAATGCCAGAGTCATGACAGGTAGATAGGTTGGAAATATACCATGAAAAGCAAAGATAAGTTATTTGCATTTGATGCAAGAGAGGGGAAGTAAACAGTGTCAGGGCAAAACAGTAAGCTGATAGAAGACATAGCTGGGATAATACTTGCATGACCACATCAGATATGTGGGACAATATTGTGTCTGTCAGGACTGAAAATGGGTAGCGTTGAGATTCAAGATGTGTGGGTGAGTCAAAAGTGCACATCTCAAGGTCTGTATAAAGAACAAACTGGGTCTAGATATCACCTTAATATAATCTTCCCTAGAGGCAGTCAATTTTCTGCAAACCTCAGGTATCCTGCTCACTCAGAGTCCCTTCTGATCCTTGTCACAGCATGTGTGGCAATCTACCTGATCCGGATGAAGGTCCACCACTGAAATGGTGTAGGGTATTGTCCCCTTAAATAGCTATTCTGTGACAGACAAGTTTCATCCTGAAGTCTCACTTTGTCCTGCTTCTGTTCTCGTCTGAGTTTCAGATTCATATTTTGAGTTTCAGTAACATATGAGAAGCCTCTGAATGTTTTCTAAACAGGGTCTTTCTTTCTTGCAAAGCTTATTGCCTGATGTATAACTCCATTTCTCTCTTTAGCAACCGTTAATCCTCCTGCCACATGTGGAATATTATCAATACCTTCCAAATCTTCTTTTTTTTTATTTTATTTTTTTTTTTAATTTTGCAGGGATTTTTTTTTCTTCCAATGGGGAAAGAGAGTTTGGATCATTCTGGCTTCCAGTGCAATTCACATCTTCTTACTGTCTAGCCACAGCACTGATTAACAACCGTGTTTTCCTTTCTATACTATCTGTAGCTGTGAAACTCCAAAGCATGTGCTGGTGCCTTGCTGTCACAAATGCACATGGATGTGCAATTTGATGGAGATGTAGAACTTGTGCTGACCATCCCTGGATACCTGTTTTACTGCCTGCAGTCTGGGGAAACTAGGAGTTATGGAATAACCCTTTAGAATATTAAGCCAATGGTAGCTGAGTTAATTTTGCTTGTGTATGAGTTTTGTTGTGCTCTAGTTTCCCTACCTGTGTTGGGAATAAGATCCGATCTGTAGGTGTATTAGAATGTGTGTGATCTATATCGTTTACTGAAACGGTATGGATTCTTTCCTTTGAAACTACTGTTTGCTTAGTGCTACTTGATTTGATCTGTAGCTAAGACAGTGCTTTGAGGATACAATCTCGAGTCTGTAAAATGCATGGGTTTGCTTTTTAGTTTATCTTTTAAATGTACTTTGCACAGCTTGCATTTAAATAGGTTGGAAGACTAGCTAAGCTGAAGGCTTTTTAATGATAGATACTTTCCCCATTTCTACAGTGTGGTGGGTAGCCTACTGATCCATCAGGTATTGGAGTAGTCTGATTTAATCCAGATAGGAAAGGATCTTTTATGTTGTGAACTGTGGCAAAATATATAATAATGTAATGCTTGTTTTCTGTTTTCCTCTTTTAGATAGAAACATTGATGTTAGTACACAGCTTGGGAAAAAGGCTTTGGTAGGATTCAGCTCATCTATTTTTTTGTGGTCTGATACTGTGACTTCTGATCTAAGACAGTGGTCTGCTCGCTCTCTCTTTATATATAACAGTGCCAGCTATTTTCAGAACTTGACTAATCTCACTGTGAGATAGGTTTTCCATGGTAAGTTCATGGATCACCTCTGAAACATGCCAGTGTCTGTCATCTATAGAGGGAGGCTGTCGTAGCTTAGACGTACAGTAGGCAACTGAACCTAGATCAGAATTAAAGGTAGGGGGAGAGAGAGAAGGGAAATAAATAAATAAATAAATAAATAAACCAAAACAGAGGGAGAGGAATTATAGGTGTGCATATATACCAAATATTTTTAATTGAAAGGTTGTAGTTTAAAACCTGAATAGTCATCTCCCTCATACTATCAATTCTACATGTAATTATCATACGCTAGTGAAAACAGTAGACCAGTGTAA